GCCCCCCCTGATAAATTTGTCGCCCCCCCCCCCTCATCGGTCGCATATGCCAGATATGCTTCTATGTTTAATTATGCGTTTCAACAAATGCACGGTCAGCAAAGCGCTCTCCAGTCACACGGGGGGTGGGGGTGCTCACAGGAAGCAGCAGCTCAGCACGTCTCTGGTCATCTTCAACAAAAACAGGTGTTGTGCGCGGAGTTAAGGAAGAAGACTACCGGTGACTGAGTATAAGTCATAATTTCTAAAAAGAAGAGTGGAAACTATTTATTCAGTAAACTTTGGAGGCTGTAGTGACGTTTTTTTAGTGCCAAATTTAATTACCTTGCTATCGTTAGCTGGTGCTACATGCTATTTAACTTGCTTTTTGGCATGATAAATTTATCTACTTAACTAACGTTAGCTGGTGCTATATGCTATTTAACTTGCTTTTTGGCATGATATATTTAATTACTTAACTAACGTTAGCTGGTGCTACATGCTATTTAACTTGTTTTTGGCATGATATATTTAATTACTTAACTAACGTTAGCTGGTGCTACATGCTATTTAACTTGCTTTTTAGCATGATATATTTAATTACTTAACTAACGTTAGCTGGTGCTACATGCTATTTAACTTGCTTTTTGGCATGATAAATGTATCTACTTTAACGTTAGCTGATGCTATATACTATTTAACTTGCTTTTTGGCATGATAAATTTAATTACTTAACTAATGTTAGCTGGTGCTGGTATATATGTTATGTCAGTTTGCAGACAATGAAGAGAACGTCTGCAGACATCTCTTCTTATTTTAAGAAGAAAGTTAGTTCAGGAGAGAGAGAGAGCCAAGAGGGGAGCATCCTGCTCTTCGTGAAGTGGAGGATGCAGAGGAAGAAGCAGAGGCAGAGCATGATAAAGATAGACAGGCACAGACAGCATCAGTAAGAGATGAAGATGAAGAATATCAGACAGCAGATCAGGAACAGGCAGCAACTATGGTTAGAGAGGCGAGGCAGGATTTAGCAAAAGCAGGTGTTCGACCTGTTCCTGGACCAACAGGTGAAGTGATGACTGTAATGAAATGGATCACTAGGCCAGATATCAGTGTCCTCTGTAACATCATTTGGGTATATGTATGGCTAGAGTGTGTTTCCATTAAGTTACAAGTCATGACAATCACTTCTGCCTTCTGATTTATTTATTAGTAGTTGAGTTTTATTAGATTTGTGTATAGGCTGTTATTACAGCTATAATTGATAATTACTATGAAGGGGGACCAACTTATTATTGTGATTATTTATATCATAATGATTGATTTTGCCTCTTGTTTCATCACATATATCTCCAAGTCAAGAGCAGAGCAGCCCAAGCAGCCACAACTCAAGAGCTTCCCTCGAACCTATCAAGGGGACAGAAGACGGTGCTTCTCTAAAGACTGGTATAACACACATAAATGGCTGGAATACTCTCAGAGTAAAGACTCTGCCTACTGTTATGCCTGCCGACAGTTCAGTCTCCCCTCCTCAGGTGATTCGGTATTTACATCTGAAGAGGGGTTTAAAAATTGGAAGAAGGCGACCTACAAAGATGGGGGACTTATAGGGCATGCAAAATCTGAAGTTCATACAAATGCAATGTTAGCTTGGGCAGAGTATGAGAAGTCAACTGCAACCACATCCTCTCTCTCAGCCTCCTTAAATGCAGAGTATGACAAATTAGTGAGGTAAAATAGACATTACATTAAAACTGTTGCAGAAATCCTGCTTTTCACAGCTACACAAAACATTGCCCAGAGAGCACACAGAGAGTCAGAAAGTGACAATAAAGGAAATTTTCTTTGTATTATGGAACTCCTTGCTAAGCATGATCCCATTGTCAAAAGGAAAATGACAAGCCAAAGAAATGCAACATACCTTGGGCATGCTACACAAAACGAAATCATTGATTGTCTTGCCGAAATGGTCCGCACCTCAATAATTAGTGAGGTTGTGCAAAGTGAAGCTTTCAGCATTTTGGTTGACGAGACCCAGTAGGATAAGCGGTTTGGACAATGGATGGATGGATGGATGGAGACTAAAGACCTTAGTAAGAAGGAACAGATGTCCTTTGTAATTAGGTACTACTACAATGGGTCAGTATGTGAAAGCTTCCTTGCCTTTGAAGCAGCAGAGCGCCTGGACGCTGCAGCACTTTCACAGAAAATTGTGCAAATATTGCAGAAATATGGTCTTGACTACAAAAACCACCTTGTAGGGCAAGCATATGATGGTGCCTCAGTCATGAGTGGAAAGAACACAGGTGTGCAAGCACGCTTTAAAGCAGAGGCACCATTAGCTTTTTATGTTCACTGCAATGCACATTGTTTAAATTTAGTTTTAGTTGACAGTGTGAAATGCATCCCTGGAGCCTATTGCTTCTTCTCTCTTTTGCAGAAACTGTATGTCTTTGTGTCATGGTCATATGTGCACCAAAAATGGCTTGAGGTACAGAGGGAGATGTTTCAGGGAGCCCCAAGGGAGTTACAAAGGCTGATAGAGACAAGGTGGGCATGTAGGTACAATGCTTGCATGACAGTGAGGGACAGACTGCCCGCCATCATACGTCTACTAAAAGAAATATCAGAAGAGCCCAATGGTGACAGAGCTGTAGAGGCAAGATGTTTATTAGCCCAAATAGATCTCAAGTTTGTTGGTCTCCTTGCAACATTCACCGGTGTTTTTGGTGAGATAAAATATCTCTCAGGTATTCTACAGTCCCCACAACTCAATTTGGGCACAGCTGTTACACTTGTTGACTCTCTTGTTGAGATATTGGACAGTTACAGAGAGGGCCCTGTCTTTAATGACATTTGGGACAAAACTGACCCTTGCCAAGCAATGCAACATCAGTGCTACACCTCCAGGCTGTCAGGTCACACCAAGCTCTAGGCTTGAAAGGCATTACATATCCACCCCGATAGTTCAAAGACGGGTCAACACAGTCTTTTCGGGCAGGGTTATTCATTCCAATTATTGATATGCTTCTGTCTGAGGTGAAGAGAAGATTTTCTAAAGAAAATTGTGTCACATTGCAAGGGATACAAGCCTTAAATCCCTGCAGTCCCTGCAGTTTTGTGAGATTGATGGAGTGTTTCCATTCGCCTCACAGTACAACTGCAGCACTGAAGATCTACAATACAAGATCCCCCAGCTTAAGCAAATTCTTGAGAGGAAGCGAACTAATGGTCTGGAAACACCAAACAGTTTAATAGATCTCACCGTCTTCCTGTAGCCATATAGTGAGGTCTTCCATCAGATGTTTAAACTGTGTAAAATTGCACTTGCATTACCAGTGAACACTGCATCATGTGAGTGCAGTTTTTCTGTGCTAAAATTGATCAAAACATCCCTTGAGAAGTATTATGACTGATGAACGATTGAGTAATTTGGGGGTGCTAAGTGTGGAGTCAAGAAGGGCTAGGGCCATAAATCTTGATGACTTTGTAGATTTGTTTGCAAAAAAGCACAGCAACAGGCGAATAAAACTATATTGAGTGTGTAGCCTGTACTCGATTACTGTATTTGTTTGTTTGCCGGTGGATCATAATAAAATATACAAATGTACATGTAATGCCTGTTTTAATTTTTTTTTCCTTTTTTAGGAATATTATATGTAACATTTTAGTGTACATAAAGAGGCAGCAACAGTCAAATAATTCAAAGCTGTATTGAACATAATTGGAGACTAGTGCGGTGTTTTTAAACTTGGTTAAGCTTGTTCCCAGTAACAAAACAATTAATTGAGTAACACATATACATAAAACACATTAAAACAGGATTATTGTGGAACTCAAAATGTTAATTGTACAATGTAATTGTAAGTTTATGCACTTGTGATCACTGGGACATTAAATGTAACACAAGAAACGAAAGTATATCAGTAGGCGATCCCTTAAATCTTTCTAATAGTTTTCAACTAGCTATATCATTTTCTTTTTCGAATTATCAGGTTTTGTATATCTTCATAAATTTCCCACTTTGGATAAAAAGTTGTCTCGATATATACCTTCATTCACCTTTCACAGGTCCCGCTGCATCCTGTGCCGAATACTAAAGCCCTTCACTTTTTGGTAACCAAATGAAATACTGGTTTAGTGCACCCCGTTCCCCCGGGTGCTAAATATAACCAGCAACGGGAATTTCGAGAAGCGATGTTACGTTTGGATTGATTACAGCATGTACTGTATATGATAATATTGCATGTAATATAAAAAGCTATTTATGACTTAACCCAATAAATCCACATTTATTTGGGGGCATAATAAATGTTTTTTGTTTTTTTTTTTTGGGGGGGGGGGGTAACCACTGTCACTCAGGCACAAGACCACATGAAAAACAACCATGACAAGCATCTGGATAAGTACATCTTTAATTGAGTAACAGCACAGTGTTATTTCGTATGTCACAGCACACTGTCATGAGCCTTCTTTCTCGGCTTCTGGTTACTGCTGCACCTGCACTTCCTGTCGAATAACACGTGTTTTGCACGCATCATCTGTAAAAGAGCAGCAGAAAGCATGACTGTACAGCAAACACAGCAAGGCACATCGTCATAATTAGCAAAGAAGAGCTTAAACTCTTCAAACACCCTTCTGTTCCAGGAGTAGTAAAACCTTAGCATGCACAACATTATTAACATTATTGCTATTTTTATTATGATGATAATTATTATTTCTAACCAGAGCATGTGAGCGGAGCGGAGCGTGAGCGAGGAGCGGAGCGGGCGGAACAGATTTAACACACTATTAACATCACAGCTTCATAGTTTGATAGAGCTCTTGGATTTACATTATGTATATATATTCATCTAAAAACAATATTTTGGAATAACATAGTACTTCTCCATGTTCAAAAGTTGGTTACAGATTAATTGTATACTATTTCAAAACATTTTCCACATATATAGCTAACGACCAAAGTAATGCTAAAACCAACACTAATTTGACAAACCTTTACCAGTGTTTTAGACTAATCTACCCAATATATTTCCCTCTTTATATGATCTCAGCCATTGTTAGCAATACCAGTGCTGTCCAGTAGATAAGAACTAAATACCTAGTATTTTGCACATACAAACACGGTAACGACATATCCACAGATAGAGGTTGGAAAGTACTGTGTGTACAACTGATTTAATGAGATAGATAAGAGATAAGTGCCAATGAGCAGTATATTACAACAGCTTTCACTTACAATTGATGTGCGGAGCAACAATCTTGAATTCTGAGGTCTGGGCGGTAGAGGCTCTACCCAGGTCCATTCTTAGCCATTGTCAGCAGTCACCAGTTGATAAGAGCAAAATATCCAGTATTTTGCACATACAAACACTGAAGCAACATAAGCAACAGATAAAAGTTGGACAATACTGTGTATGCAATCATTTGAATGAGACACAAATTAGAGAGAAGTGCCAACAAACAGTATATTACTACAGCTTTCACTTACTATTGATGCACGGAGTAGCAATCCTGAATTCTGAGCAGGGGGTGG